AGGTAAGGGGTACAGGTAGATAGGATGTAGCAGTTGTTAACCTTTCCTGCTCTCCACTGAGGAGGTGACCAGACACTGTTCTGGACTCACAGAAGATCTAAGCCGGTGTTCAACCCACTGGTTGAATGGGCTGCCTCTGTCCGCTGGGTTGACGGGCTGGCAGTGGTCTGTTCACGGGTGTTGGTCTGCAGTGTGGTCGCAACAGGTAGAAAGGGAAACAGACCGAGTGCTGTGAAAAAACATCATGTGATCAGGCACACCTGCTGCCACTCACTCATGGAGCCGAGGCATGGGGGGGGGCCCTACCTGAGAGAGAGAGAGAGAGAGAGAGAGAGAGAGAGAGAGAGAGAGAGAGAGAGAGAGAGAGAGAGAGAACACAACCCAACCCAAACATGAACCGTAGGGTCGTAACAAGCAGTCTCTTCTTACGTATTTGGTGGTATTTAAATTAGGCTGTGTCGAGATCCCGAAGCACAGACGTTTCGCAACACTGCTCCAAACCATGGTTCAAAACGTCAATGTCACGTGACCGCAGTGAAGCGAGGCTTCAGAGCGTCTCACCCCTGTTTCGACAGGTGGCACACCTGCCGTTTCTACGCTTGATTCGCAGTGTTTGGAACAAACCGCACATCAGCCTATAACTCATTTGACAGATTTGTTCCAAGGACACACAATCATTTGATTTATTGGAGCGTGCTGTAGTATATCCGCACCTGTAGGCCTATGATGGCAAAAAAAATATTTATCTTTGCCAGCAACAAATGTTCCATGTGACCAAATTTTTCCAAGGCTGGGGAAAAACCCGACTCAGCCCCAAAACAACTGCATATTTCTGAATACTATTCTTGACATATAACAAATATGAGACATTGTTCCACTTTTCTTAAAACAACTTCAACTTTACTCAGTTACGGATTTTTAATCCATTACACCTCATCACTGCCAGCACTCATTATTATTATTAATTATTATTACACTAGGGCCAATATCTTTTCTGCTAATTATCATTCCACCTTTATTAATAAGCTACTGTATAATACCGTAGATATCCACATTTATTATCATTTATCATTAGGCTATATTCTTAGATTTGTATACTTTATTATATTCTCTACTCACTAAATTCTACCTAGTATTTTTATTCCTTTTATGCCTTGCGAGTATCTGCAACAAAGACTTCACCGTGGTAGATCAATAAAGTATTCCGATTCAGAACACGAACAAGTTGTCTCTATGGGTTAGTGGTTAAGACACATGCGTTTGGTGTGAGAGACCTGGGTTTGATTCCCACCGTGATACATGTGTACCTGAGCAAGACACTTAACCTCTAGTTGCTCCCAAGGTGCGTCCTCTGACATGCTTTTGAGAAAAGCGTCGGCTAAATGAGTGATTACTTACGAAACAACACAGATGTGTTTTAGCCTATTTAAACACACTTTTATTGCAATCCCCATCTGCTGTCTCTGACAATCTGAAAGCGTTTCTTTGTTGTATGGTGATTTCTCCGAAATCCTGTTGGTCATGTATTGATAAGACGTTTAGAATAGTAAACGCGGGTCAGTCATTGTTTCAATGAAACCCCGACCAAGATGTGTCGATATCAAAAGTGACCAGTAGGTGTCACCGTGGAGACGGGTGTCGAAGTTTTTTGAAGCCTCGACACAATTCCGGCACAATTGCTTCAAACGTTTCAATGTTTCACAAAGCCTCGCTTTTCCCATCACTAATTTAAATCCCCTATTTCCAATACATTTTGGCTCATTCCTTTGAGTTGACATTGGGTCTTCTGGGATCATTGAGATCACCTGTTGCACAGGGTGTGGGAACTGACTCCTTAACAATGATTGAGAGCAGCTTGGTGATTCTCTTCTTGGCAAATCAGGGTGTGATGACGCCCATTCTTGAAGGCATAAGAGAGGTGGGCAACAGCACAGCCAGGGCTAGTGACAAAGCCTCATGAAGATTTATAGGCTTTTTTTCTGATTGTAAGTGCTGCAAGAACTGTAGCCTATGTGGTGTATAATATATGTGCATTTGACTCATAACAGTTTAAAATAGCACTGTAGCAGCTGGACAGAGGGTCAGTGACCTCTTAAGGGGAGAGCAGTGATTGATGATTATGTAGGGAGTGAACCCTTCTATAGAATTTGACCTCTGACCCCGTGTTTTGTTACCTCAGATTAGTACTGAACCCTTCTGGTGTCTAACAGATGCCGACACAAATCCTATAGAACTGTGCCCTTATATGGATTGGTGCCTTAGTTTGCAGACTCAAACCCTTCTATGGTATCAGATATCTAACAGAGACCTAAACATGTCCTATATAAGCTATGTTTGATGTACAGAGAGGCAGAGTGGTCATCGGGCTGGGTCTCTCTCCAAGCTGCTGCAGAACTTGTAATTGATGCTGAACTCCTTGATGTAATAAACTTTTATAATCAAGAACAGTGTCAAGCGGGTTTCTTCTCAACACATCATCGTAGCATTATTGTTCGGACACCACACCTACATGTTGCTACCTGCCACTATGTCTAAATAAGGTTTAAAAAAGTTTCCTTAAATCATCATTATCTGCTATAATAGTAAACCAGGCAGTATAAGCTACAATAAAGAAAGCACACTGTTAAATACTTCACCTCTGGACCTCTGCAGTGGCACTGGCTGTTGCATTTGACACATGCTGCTGTGCATACAGATGGCTGTCAACATTTATTCCCTGGCTTTTAATTCACCATGAGAGCTGCTGTGGTCTTCATTGTCGCTGTCAGTGTTGCTGTTATTTGTTTTGTTTTTATTTATCATGAGCATATTTTATATCATCTCTGTAAAGCACTTTGGTAACCTTGAGTAAAGTGGAGTGGATTGGATTCTATTTTATATTCACGAATTGTCCCGTCAGCTGAATTTTTTTGTTTGCCTTTATATAAATAAAGACATTTCCACCATAAATTGGAGCAGAAAATGTCTCCAGAATGCAGGAAATTAAGTGTTTAATGCTTCAATTTTTGGGGGGAAGACCCCCAGACCCCCACTCATATATTTCAGATTTCTTCAAAATGGTGTTAAAAATCTTCTCGTCTTGTTGTTGTGCATCATCATGTCTCATGACCCAAAATGTATCATCACGCCCCAAATTTGAGTACTTGTGTCCCTCCACTTTTCAACACAAAGTGAAATGCACAGAACTGTTCATTGGGGAGACTAAACAACCACGACACAAACGCATGGCTCAACACAGAAGGGCCAACTCCTCAGGTCAAGACTCTGCAGTCTACTTACATCTGAAGGACAGAGGACACTCGTTTGAGGACCACCAGGTGCACATTTTAGACAGAGAGGATGGATGGTTTGAAAGAGGTGTCAAGGAAGCCATTTACATCTGGGTTGAGAAGCTGTCGCTGAACAGAGGAGGGGGTCTACGCCACCACTTATCCCCCACTTACAATGCTGTCCTTTCATCAATTCCCAGGAAACTGAACAAGCGTAACCTATTGGCCTCAGGTGAAGATACCAATGATGTTGTTACCACTGCCAGGAGCACTAACGTACCAGCGGTATCGATGATCCTAGCTAACGACCCCACAGAGGTTAAATAGCTGAGTTTCCCTATCGATCAGTCAGAACTGAAGAAGTCTCTTGGATGAGAGACAAAACATTTTCCAGTATCTTCAACCAAGTCCAGTTGCCTTGACTTTAACCTTCTTTGGATAACTATGACCTGGATGACTGAGAACCTTCACAGACATGTTATAGTTATAGTAGCTAGTTATAATTCTTCCATTTTTGAAAATGCTCCTTTACTGCTAAAGTTGATGTCCTGCACAATAGGTTTCAGTTGGATTTAAAGGGGCTATACGTAGTTTTAAAAAAATTAACAAATCACTTTTTTATTGCCTGTGGGTGAAGATGTTGTAACCTCACACACAAACGATCCACTTACTGGGTTTTATTGTGATCTCTGAAGGCCAGTATGTCAGTTCCTATATGGAGGAAATCTGGAGGAAGACTCAGGGTTGGATTTTACAGAAATCCCTTGCTTTGATGCACTCTTGCCTTGTCTACTGACCCTGCGCTACGACACTGCAGCTACTGACATGAAGTTCCCTAAAACAAAAACACAACCAGGTCCGAGCACAACACAAACTCCAAGTCAGGATAAAAAACAAGAATAAAATTTCTGTGCTGGAGCCCGTCAGGCCAAACGAGAATCATATCGACATCGGTTGAAAGGGCAGTCAACGAAAGGCTTCAGACATGGAGAGCCCTCCACCTTGTTTTGGAACCAACAAAACTGACCCAGAGTTGGCTTTCTTCCTGTTGGACAGGTAAACTAATATTACAGCAAGGCACATTAAATAAATTGTGATTTTGTGCTTTAGTTGGCTCATGTTATATAACGTTAGCTCGCCGGCTAACACTGACCAGTTGCTAATGTTATCCTTTGCTAAATACTGTAGTTTCATGGCTTTCCACATCACCAGCTAACGTGACCCATCTTACTATCCTGTGTACAACCGGTATTATTTCAAAGTGTTGATTTGAGACTCCAACAAATGATGGAACGGTACAAAGCAAATGTGGAGCGGGAGTTTATGTGAGTTTCAGCATGTTGTGTGACGCTGTCTCCCGATGTGTCAGATTCTGCTCGCTCATGAGTTCAAGCACGAGCGCACACGGTCGCAATCTAAAACCTGCACCGCTGAAAACTATATACTGCCCCTTTAGTTCATTTTGGGAGCAAAACAGTCAAGAGGAAGTTAATAACTTCATCTTTTAATTGTGAACATGTGAAACAGAACTGATGGTTTCTGAAGTTATTTGTTCCAATTAAAACTCAAAGTTGTGGTACTTTGGAAAACATGAGTGCCACTACACAGATGATACACATAATACAGATAATACACAGTCGTACATTTTTCACCAAATGATTTCTGTTGATAAAAATGTGCTTATTTTTTCATCAGAATCATTACTGAATGTGACAAATTCGACGCTGTTAATGAAAGACAAAACAGAATTTATTATATTTAGAACAACTTGAAATCTCTGTGCTAAATGTCAAGCGGTTCACTGACCTCATGCACCACATGATGTCCACTGTCCAAACCTCACTTCACATGGTGCATTCCATCCCCAAAACATTCAGCATTGTTTGGTCAGACAGCTTTTGAAACTTCTTCTGAAGATCCCTCAAGTTGTGCTTCAAACCGCCTCATGCATCATCGAAAACACACCAACCCCTACAAAGAACTTATCTGGTTTTTGGACTCATGGTGCAACCACATTGATCAACATATGCATATATTATTATGTTTTCAGTTCTGTGAATTTGTAATTTTCTTCCAGCTCCATGATGTCGATCTCTGTCTCCTGTCTCAGCTTTGTATACTGTGTCTGATGGAGGTCAGGGTGATGTTTGCAGGAGCACAGGGGAACCACCTTTTGAAAAATGTATATATGCTGAGTGGACTGTGTTAGATAAAAGGGATTAAAACCAAATTAATTAATACACTGAATTGAAAAGTAAGAGACATCATCTGAGTTTGATCCTCTGCTTGCTGTTTTCAGTCAGCTGTGGTTTGTTGGTCGACATCAATGAAGCTGACATGTTGGATATTCTTGTGCTTTTAACGTGTGTGTGTGTGTGTGTGTGTGTGTGTGTGTGTCCTCAGTGAACTGTATCAGTCTCTGCAGTAGCTTCCAGCTGCAGCAGTCAGTTCAGTTTCTGTTCAGTCTGACTGAGGGAGGTTTTTGTACGACGCTTTTTCACTGTGTGAACACAAGCTGACTGTTGATCCAATGATAACTCTGACAGTAGTAAACTGCTGCATCTTCAGCCTGAACTCCACTGATGGTCAGAGTGAAGTCAGTCCCAGATCCACTTCCACTAAAACGACCTGGAATCCCTGACATTCTCTCGTTGGTGTTGCGAATGAGTAGTTTAGTAGTTTCTCCATCTTTCTGTTGGTACCAGTGTAAACAGTAAGCACTGCTACAGCTCTCAACCTGCTGACTGACCCTACAGCTGATGGAGACGGAGGCTACCAGAGCAGAGCTCACTGCTCCAGGCTGAGTCACTGTGATCTGGCCTCTGGACTCTGAGGATACAGAGACAAACACATAAAGCAGCGTCATGGTTTTGTGGGCTTCATTTCAGAGGGACGGATGTTCATAGAGGAGAGGAGTTTGATTCTCTGGACTTTACCTGTGAAGCAGCAGCAGAGGAGAGTCCAGATGAGGACGGAGACCAAAGTCATGTTTTTGATGAGGAGGATTTCTGTGGCTTCTGTTGTCATGAAGGACAGCTGTCAGTCATCCAGTGTTCAACTCTCAGGACTATAAAGTCTCCCAGAGCACTGGAGCATGGTGCTGCTGATGCAAAGTGGCTCTCTATGGAAATGCTCTGACTGACTCCAACAGGGACTTGGATTACTCTGATGATGCTGCTTCTCAATGGATCAATACGTTTACCAGAGGATTGATTAGGAATGTGTCAGTGATCATTTTTATGGACATTTGCTTTGATGACTGCAGAAAGATTTTCTTTTACAACATCTTCTGTCTGCTTTCATTTCATTCTAGAGGGATCGATTTGACTTTCAGACCAATGGAACAATATATACGTAAAAATGGGATTCATTCTGAACAACTGTGTCACTGTTTGATAAATATAACATGAAATAGTTCATTCTTTTAAAAACAGCAAGTGTGTTTGTTGAGTTTGTTGTGTTCAAAGTCAGAGAGCCGTGTCTCTCTACAGTGAGAGGTTTTTGTACGACGACTCAATCAGTTTGTATCACTGTGGTACACGTTCGGTGGAGGAACCAGACTGGATGTTGGAAGTAAGTTTCTGCACAAATATTAAATATCGTATCATAGTAGTAGTAGTAGATATAAATTTCCTCTGGACTGATCTAAATCACTTTAAAGACTCAATCTTATTGTACGTTTCTCCTGTTTAACCATGAAGCTGAACTCAAAGCAGCTTTACTGAACTTCTCTTTAAACGTTCCATTTAATTTGTGAAATGTGAACAGCTTGAACTGCAGCAAAGATTAAAGAACAACACTCGTACTTTAAAAATCATTCAGCCTTTAATTTTGCATTTTAAACTGTTTAGAAGTTGAGTTCAAATTATTTTGAATAGTGTGAATGAAGATAAAAATGTTTCCAAATCTCTGATCTTCTAAAATTACTCAAATTGTCTTTTAACCTCAGTTTGAAATAATGTTGACAGTTCTCTGATGCTGTTTGTAAATCTGTCTGAGGAACAGGTTACCTGTGGTCGTCTCTTATTTTGGGCTGATAATGTCCTTTAACAGTGGATCTCATTAACTTTTGCCCTTTTGAGAGTTTTGACAGTAAATATGTTTTTTGTATTTCCAAATTTAAAACCTGGTTGTTTTATTTCCAGTGCAGTTTGATATATTTCAGCTCATATGAGGACTCTTTCTGTGCTGATATGCATGAGAGGTTTCTTAAAGGAAGTGAAACAATGTGTGAGTGAGTGACTGGTGGAGCAGAAACCAGCTGTGTGGTCCCCGTCCTCTAAGCTGATTGGTTCTTCTCCTAGGTGATGTCCGTCCCACCCTGACGGTGCTGCCCCCCTCCAGCGAGGAGCTGCAGCAGGGGAAGGCCACGCTCATGTGCCTGGCCAACAAGGGCTTCCCCTCAGACTGGAGTCTGACCTGGAAGGTGGACGGCAGCAGCAGCAGCAGCAGCAGCTGGGAGGAGAGCAGGAGCCCCGGGGTGCTGCAGAAGGACGGCCACTACAGCTGGAGCAGCACCCTGAGGCTCTCTGCAGACCAGTGGAGGAAGGTGGGCTCTGTGACCTGTGAGGCCACCCAGGGCTCCCAGACTTCGCTCTCAGAGACACTGAGGAGAGACCAGTGTTCCCAGTCCTGACCTGACTCACTGGGACTCTGCTACTGGTTTTCCTCTGCTCCTGCTCTCACTCTGCACTCTGGAACTGTCTCTCTCTTTTATTTGACATCTTTCAACAGCAAGATTTACTAGCTTGTTGCACTGTTTCAATATTATTTCAGTGTTTCCAGATAATAAAGACCTTTTCATCCAATCAGCTGTTTTCATGTTTATTATTATCACAGTACTATGAATGCTTTCATGACTGTAGTATCTTTTCTGTTATAGTCACAGATTTATCTGTAATAAAAAACCTTTGGAAAAAACCCATTTTGAGCCATTTCAAAGATAAATCATATCTGTTCATTCTAAACTGTGTAAATAGTAATAACTGTAATATTGTTATTGCTTTTGATGTAATAAAACGTCTAAAGTCTAAAAAATCTCTCATAATCTTAAAAAACATCATCAAAATAAAGATAAATAAGAACCACAGAAACCAAAGATGACAAAAGGAAATAATTAAAATGTTACTGATCGGTCGATCATAATACGTGTTTGTTGAAATACTTGATGTTGAGATTTATTAGTTATTTAATTTCAATAATGAATATGTTCACATTTCTATGAAAAATTGTGCGATCAAATTAACCAAAATATATACAACTAGTGTTCTTGTCTTTTTTAACTTCATAGATTATATTAATTTAAATATTAAAGTACAGCTTTGATAAATTATTTCAATCCTATTTTAATAAAGTTATCAAAAGTATAAATGTTTGGATCCAATCCAAAATGCTTTTTGCTAAAATGATTTGATATTAAGCTTTTTTTTTTTTTAAAATAAACCTGTTGTTTTAGTTTCAGTGCAGCTGTTGAGTCAGATCAGTTCCTCTCCAGCTGAGGGAGGTTTTTGTACGACGTTGTATCACTGTGTGAGTGGATAGCTTTGATATTGCTGACAGTAGTAAACTCCTGAATCTTCAGCCTGAACTCCACTGATGGTCAGAGTGAAGTCAGTCCCAGATCCACTTCCACTAAAACGATCTGGAACTCCAGACTGACGGGTTGTAGCATAATAAATCAGGAGTTTAGGAGCTTCTCCAGGTTTCTGAAGGTACCAGCTGAGCCAGCTGTAACCAGAACTATAAACACCTGTACTGGTTTTACATCTGAGAGAGACAGTCTGTCCTGCAACAGCAGACTGAGATCCAGGAGACTGAGTCAGGATGATTTGTCCTGATGAACCTGGAAAAGATGAAAAAGAGGAGAAGGGTTATTGAGACAAATCCAGCTTGGAGAAAGATGATCAGCATCCAAACAGAAGAGTCTCATTTCTTTAAGATGGAGAACAGATGGAAGAAGGTAAATGCTGCTTGTTTCAGTGTTTCTCCATCACAGCAGAACATCATTGTGGTGAAGCTGGTTGCATCCTGAAGCAAAGTTTTCAGAAGAGAGTCTCACCCTGAACAAGGAGCCCCAGGGTGGCCAGCAGTAGAATCAGTGACATCATCATTGTGCTGCCGGCGTGTCAGTGGCTCTGAAAGGCCTGGACAGCCACTGATCAACACTGGCCTCTTAACGGCTGGGAGCAGAGAGGCAGGACAGATATGCAAACACACAGAGTCAGTGAACTGTAGCTGTCCTCAACATATCATGCTGTTTCCTCCTCACTGCTGGGACAGCTGCCTGTTTAAAACATCCCACTGTAACTGAAAAAGAACTTGTTTTAAGTAAAGAAAATGTTTTATTTAAATTTTTTAACTGAACCTAACTTATTAAAGCCTTGTTTTATGAAAAATCAGTCGAAGAAGGCAGCATGAAAACAGCATCAGCAAAACACAAGGCAAGGCAAGTTCATTAGTATAGCACATTTCAACAACAAGGTAATTCAAAGTGCTTTTCATAAAATATAAAAGCAACAGGGAAATATAAAAACGTTTAAAAGCAACATAGGGAAATTGAAAAATACACATTAAAATATAACAAAAGTTACAGTGCAGTGTACAATCAGGATTAAAAGAGTTAAATGGAAAATAAAAACAGGCTGAGGGGTTGAGCAAATAACTGAGTTACAATTATTTAGTCCGCAGGCCACTTTGATCCAGTTATACTCTGGACCCACCTGCGCGTTTACAGGTGGACAGAGGTTCCTGCATATCACTCAGGCGCGAGATTTAAGACCACTTCCTTCACTCTGTTCAATCTCGCTCTCATGATCTTTTCACTCAATTACCTACTCATTTCATACCGTGTAATTATTTAAATATTGAATAAAAGCAATGTTAAAAAGCTAAGGAAAAAGAAAACAGGACAGTAAAAGTTACAGTGCAGTGTAAGTTATCAATCTACTAGTTAAAGGCAGTGCTAAAAGGAAAAGTCTTCATTTCAGTCTTAATTTAAAAGAACTGAGAGTTTCAGCAGACCTGCAGTTATCTGGGAGTTTGTTCCAGATATACGGAGCATATTAACTGAACGCTGCTTCTCCTTGTTTAGTTTTGACTCTGGGGACAGAAAGCAGACCTGTCCCAGATGACCTGAGAGGTCTGGATGGTTCATAACGAAGCAGAAGATCGGAAATGTATTTTGGCCCTAAACCATTTAGTGCTTTATAAACTAACACCAGGATTTTGAAATGAATTTTTTGACATAAAGGAAGCCAATGTAAAGACCTCAGAACTGGAGTGATGTGATCCTCCTTTATGGTCTTAGTGAGGACTCGAGCAGCAGCGTTCTGAATCAGCTGCAGCTCTCTGATGGATTTCTTAGGGAGCCCTGTAAGGACGCTGTTACAGTAGTCGAGTCGACTGAAGATAAATGCATGGACAAGCTTTTCCAGGTCCTGCTGAGACATAAGTCCTTTAATCCTTGATATATTCTTCAGGTGATAGTAGGCTGACTTTGTAATTGTCTTAATGTGGCTCCTCAAATTCAGATCTGAGTCCATGACGACACCAAGATTTCTGGCTTGATTTGTGGTTCTTAACATTACAGATTGAAGTCGAGCACTGATTTTCAATCCTTCCTCCCTGGCTCCAAAAACAATAACTTCAGTTTTATCTTTGTTTAATTGGAGAAAATTCCGACACATCCGATCGTTGACCTGCTCAATAGAGTTACTCAGCACCCGTATGGGATCATAGTCCTGGTGATATGGTTATGTAAATCTCTGTGTCATCTGCATAATTATGGTAACACTTTGTTGTTTTTCATAATCTGAGCCAGTGGAAGCATGTAAATGTTAAACAAAAGAGGTCCCAGAATGGAGCCTTGGGGAACTCCACATGTCATATTTGTCAGCTCAGATGTGTGATTACCTATAGACACAAATTAGTCCCTGTCCTTTAAGTAGGATTCAAACCAGTTTAGTACTGTGCCAGAAAGTCCAACCCAGTTTTCAAGACTGTCTAGTAATATGTTGTGGTCGACCGTGTCGAATGCAGCACTGAGATCCAATAATACTAAGACTGAAATTCTGCCACTGTCAGTGTTTAAATGGATGTCATTGAAGACCTTAACAAGAGCCGTCTCAGTGCTGTGGTGTGGTCGAAAACCTGACTGGAAGACATCAAAACAGTTATTTAGTGCCAAGAAAGCACTAAGCTGTTGGAAAAACAGCCTTTTCAATGATTTTACTTAAAAATGGGAGATTTGATATGGGCCTATAATTGCTCATTAGTGAACTGTCTAGATTGCTCTTTTTTAAGAGTGGCTTAATGACTTTTCAGGGCCTGTGGGAAAAACCTGAGACGAGAGACATGTTGACAATTTGTAGTAGATCTGAGGCCATGCATTTAGACACATTTTAGAAAAAACGTGTCAGCAGAATATCAAGGCAGCATGAGGAGGATTTCAGATGTTGTATTATGTCCTCCAGGTTTTTATGGTTAATAGAATAATAATAATAATAATAATAATCCTTATTTGTAGAGCACTTTTCAAAAACAAGTTACAAAGTGCTTTAACAAGTGTAAAGAATAATACAAAAAAACAAGATAAGAGCATGAAAAATTAATATAAAATTAGTAAAATACAATAAATAAAAGGGATAAAATAAAGTCAAATAAGATCGGGAAAGGCTCTCCTATAAAAGTATGTTTTAAGAAGGGACTTAAAAGAGTTCTCTGATTCAGCCGACCTGATTTCCTCGGGCAGGCTGTTCCAGAGCCTCGGGGCCCTGACAGCAAACGCTCTGTCCCCTTTAGTTTTCACTCGAGACTCTTGAACAGACAACAGACCTCTGCCCGAGGATCTCAAGGTACGTGCTGGTGTGTATGGGACTAAAAGTTCAGAAATATAACAAGGCGAGAGGCCATGAAGAGCTTTAAAAGTGATCAATTGAATTTTAAAGACAATTCTAATAATAGAATCAAATTGTCTCATGCTATATGAATTGTTTTTAAGTGGACACAGGGACAAGACATATCTTGTTACTGACATGGAGGCACTGATTGCTTGTCTAATTGTTTGAATTTTGTCTGTGAAGAAGGAGGCAGATTCATTGCAGGCCCTGGTGGATAGAAGGTCAGAGGCTACAGACACAGGAGGGTTGGTTAGCCTGTCCACAGTAGCAAACAGGACACGTGCATTATTAGTGTTTTTGGTGATGATGTCAGAGAAGAAGGACCGCCTTGCATTTCTCAGATCTAAATTATAAATACGAAGTCTCTCTTTATAGATGTCATAATGAACCTGGAGATTTGTTTTCCACCACCTGCGTTCAGCTTTTCGACACTCTCTTTTTTGAGTTCTAACCAGCGTGGCATTTCTCCATGGAGATCTTCTCTTACCAGAGACCACCTTCACCTTGGCTGGTGCAATGGCATCAATAACATTTGTAATTTTAGAACTGAAATTATCTACAAGCTCATTGACTGAGGCCCATGAGAGGGCGGGTGTTGAGGAGAAAGCCTCAATAAATTTTTCACTAGTGTTTTCAGTGATTACCTCTGTTTTAACATTTGTGTGCACACAGATAGCACTCTCAAAGAAAACACAGGAATGATCAGAGAGAGCAACATCAGTCACCACAACCTTGGAAATGTCCAGACCCTTGGAGATGACCAAGTCCAAAGTGTGCCCCTTATTGTGTGTGGGCCTCGTCACATGTTGAGTCAGTCCATAATTATCGAGAACACAACACACAGTTCTTTAGTCCCTCTGTCCTGGGGGTTGTCAACATTAATATGTTAAAATCACCAACAATAACCACACAGTCAAAGTCAATACAGATTATAGACAGCAGTTCACCAAAGTCATCAAAAAAAATTTGCATAGTATTTAGGGGGCCTGTAGATATTTAGAAAAATAGCTCAGAGCCACATATTCAAAAGAAGCAAAATTCCCATAAGACATCTTTTTGCATTGGAGGGAGTCATTAAACAAAATGGCAACTCCACCTCCTCTCTTATGCACTCTAGCTTCACTCATAAAACTGAAGTTGGGAGGGGTAGACTCAATAAGGACAGCTGCACTGTTATCTTGGTCCAACTAAGTTTCAGTTAAAAACATGAAATTAAGATTGTGAGTTATTATAAAATCATTGATTAAAAATGTTTTTCCTGCCAAAGACCTAACGTTTAACAAAGCTAATTTTAGTGTGTTAAAAACATTCTCTGGCCCACTTTTTTCGACAGGCTGCGGCTGACGAGGAATTAATACTAAATTTGCAGGATATGTTGAGTGTTTCCTGTTTCTTAACACATTCGCTGTGCTTTTTCTGTAACCTATCAAGACAGGGATGGAGAAGACTACCAGCACACTGGGCCCCGGCTTGTCCTGGGAAGAGTCATGAGTGCTATTTTCCTTGTAGCCTGGACCCAGCACACATCAGACAGAGCTTACTGGGCTTTTTCGCCATTGCGGACCTGGAAGCCGGGTTCTGCGCTATATCTGTGACACGTGTCAAACCTGGAGGACTTAGAACCAGTGGTGGAGGTGGACGGTGAGGGTTGGTTTATGGTAGAGGAAATGGGAGTGGAGCGAGGGAAGGTGTGGGGGGTAAATTTGGTCCCAGTTCTAACCAGGTCTTCCATGTGATCGGTGAAGTCCAACAGGGGGGAGAGGGGAGAAAGGGTGTCTGGAGATAAGGGTGACCTAGATGGGGATTGGGGGGTAGAGATGGTGAATCCTCACTGTTGGTTTTCAGTGAGGGAGGTGGAGGCTCTTCCTCTTGGCTCAGATGTCTCCCGTGATCAGAGTTGCTCCAGTGGAGGCTAAGGTGGCTCTCCTTCAAGGTTTCTGGTGTGTTGTCTTCTTCTTGTTTTGATTCCTCTTGTCTCTTGTCCTTGGCAGAGGGAACAGATGAGTGACGCAGAAAGTAAAACAGGTTGGAGCTAAACAATTTTACTCCTGACTTGTTAAGGCAAAGTCCATCTGCCTAAAAAAGATGTCTGCGGTCACACAGAAAGTAAAAGTTTTCAATGAAATGCACTGAATGGACAGTACATGCCATTGAGAGCCACGTGTTCAATGCCATCAATCTGCTGAATCTCTGAACTCCTCTTCGGACTGGCGGTATAGGGCCACTCATAAACACCTCAGCATTCAGAGAGCTGACTGTGATTAATAAAGTCCTCTTTCAACACTTCAGACTGTTGCTTGTGTAGTATGACGTTTTTCACAGTAGGATGTTCAGCCACGATATATAAGTCGGACACCGTATCCTTCGGAGTATCTTGGCTTAGCTTTCCCTGCAGCCTTTTACTACTTGGTTTACTCTCAGTCCTTACCCTTTTGTGTGAGGACGGGAGGTTATCCAGGTCATGAGACGGAGATCCAGGGTCCTGCAATAGTGGTGAAAATCTGTTCTGCTGTTGCACATTCGGTTGTTGGGAAGGTTTGTTGCTAACTCTCCCTTTCGCAGCTGTCCACGGCTGTGTCCTACCAAGAACAGGGGTGGAAGAGGCATTCTGCCTGGATGATAATGCAGGCCAGCCAGTCGCATCACAAATCTCAGGGTGCTGGGTTCTGCCTGTTACTCGTCCTACTATTTCCCCAGGAAATGATTTACTCTTAGGCTTTGCAACAAGAATGTTCCAGGGAGGACTCCCACTTTCAGATTTATTACCCCGTACACAGGCCTCCTGCTTCTTGGTAGTCTTGTTGGTGCTAATTAGCCGTGTGTTAGCATGCTCTTGTCCACTGTTTTGGGTCCACGGTAAAGTGGTGTCATTCCCACATAGTCCATTCACTTCCAACCTGTGGATCTTGGTTTCCAGCACAGTAATTTTCTGTAGAAGTTTGTAGAAGTCGGGCATCTTGTTGCTGATTAGCATTAGCTATAGCTCCAGTCACTGCGGTACAGGCTAGTGCTATTGATAGGCCGCACTCGCGTAGCACTAAGATCATAAAAGGTTTTAAAGTATGGCAAGAGCCTACTTTATCTGACAGTCCCAGTGATTTAAAAGTATCCAAGAACTGCTGATTTCTATCAGGAAAAAAAAGAGAGTTTAAGCAAAAGAATGCAAGCAGAGGCAAGAGCAAGCAGCAAAGCGTCTGCACTGTAAGAAAGCAGAAGCGATTGGTACTATGAGACCAAACATTAATTTCACTTTAGACTTTAAGTGTTTCCATTAGTCAAATAAATTACAGTAAGCGTCTACATAGACTGCAGAGATATGTTGCCCTTTGTTGCACAGTGTTAAACTGGTTCAGTCCTTATCTGTCAGGCAGACATGATGTTGTCTCACTTGGTTAATATTCATTTAATTGTTTGGACATTACAGTTACATTTCAACTACATTTTTACACCATTACAACTTCAGAAAATGAAATGATTTTTAAAAAAAGATTAAAGCCTTTTCTGGTTACATCATTTCTGTAAATCAAACACTTAAAGAGGTGGTATTATGCTTTTTCCCTCTCCTTTATTGAGTTATATATCTTTTTTGTGCATGTAATAGCTTTGCAAAGTGAAAAAGCCAGCCTGTGACGTCACAGGGATGAAAGCTAAATTCACCTCAAATAACGCTCGCCAAGCGGCTACTCCGACACGCCCTCAGAAACAGCGGTGGAAAAACAATGAGCTGCAGCACACACCTCTCCTCTCCCTTCCAAACACTAGCTACCCTCCAGGCAGTCAGTGGACATAAAATTGTTCCTGTGATGTAGAGACAGAGCTCAGTTAAAACTTTATGGATACAGATTAATAACTCACCACTCTGAAACTCTTGGTCCAGTCCATGTTGCCGAGCTGGTCGGCAACACGTACGGTTGAACCCGAGCTGTTTACTGGCTTCTCACTGACCTGCCCTTCTTTGCTTCTGATTGGCTAGTAGTCCTTAACTAGGAACTGTGCATGTGCAGCTCTCAACAAAGGTCATTTAGAGATAAGATGTATCACTCCATAGCTAAAACGAAGCCTTCAACACAGGCTGAAAAGAGGAGCTGCAGCAATGTGCAGTATGACAAAAATTGTGTTTTTTGAAAATTAAACCATGTAAACCTTTTCTGGCACAACCCCTAAATAAGATTTTGAACCTGAAAATGAGCATAATATGACCTCTTTAATGCTCCAAAACCCAACTTTCTCTGTTAGACAATACATTTCATACAATCAGGTGTTTTCCTGCAGTGAGGTTTCTGGGACTTTCCAACTAAAACTGGATCAAACTGATTTTTCATGGCACCAAACGCTCATTAATGGACTTATTTTTGCACTATTTAAACTTTTGCTGATTTCTTCTACACTTTTTACAGTCATGATGCCTCCAATCCTACATGCACCTGGGTTCTTATCTACAAAAGGCACTCGGGAATGTGGACTCATTACACAGAGAGAGTGGCCAAACCTTAAACCTTTAAAACACATTAAAACATAATGTACAGTTTCTTTTAAAGCATACATAGAAAGACTGGTGCAAGAAGTTTATGGTTTTAACAAGAGCTTCTTAGAAAACAATATATAGTAACTTTATCCTATAACTTAAAACATTAAGATGGTAAATAATACAGACGCTTTCAAACCATTTCCACAATCATTTTGTGCCATGCATAAAGAAAACATCTACTAAAACATTATTATTTTATATAATTTAAATGAGTTTTTATCTACGTATGTAGACATATTTGCAATCATTAAAAGTGTTGGCAATTCAGATTTGTTTGTGTATGAATGATTTTAGAGATTTGTTTACATACAACATTTAGCAAAGATGTACTACAGGGGAATGAACTGAAGTTGCAATCATAAACATTAACAGTGTAATGTGAGGTAGCAGTGGCGCAATGAATAAGACTATGCCTTTTGTGTGAAAGACCCGGGTTTAATCCCCCACTGTAACCCATCCACCATTGTGTCCCTGAGCAAGACACTTAAGACATAGGAACATATAACATAAACATAAAAGATATAACAATTTACAATAATAATAACAATCTTTATTTGTATATCACCCATATATAAAATGCAGTTTGAAGTGCTTTACATCATGAGCACTTAAGTAAAAAGTACATAAATAAATAAAACATACAATACAGCAACATGTAAATAATCCACAAGCACAAAAACATAGGTATTAAAACTAATAACAATAATAACAATAGGACTAGTAATAATGGTTCAGCTGAAGAGTCTTTACGGACTTTTTCGAGCAGCCTGATAATAAGGAATTGCAGTAATCCAGCCTCGAAGTAACAAATGCATGGACTAGTTTTTCCACATCATTTTTAGACAGGATGTTCCTGATTTTCCCAATATTACGTACGTGAAAAAAGGCGGTCCTTGAAATTTGCTTAATGTGAGACTTAAACGACATGTCCTGATCAAAGATAACTCCAAGATTCCTCACAGTGGTGCTGGAGGCCAGGGCGATGCCATCAAGGGAAACTATATCTTTAGTAACCTGTTTTCTGTCTGTTCCCTCCCAGTTATCCCCCTGCATGCCTGTCTCTCTGTTTTCCCCTGCTGTCTCTCTGCCTGCCTGTCTCGTTAGTCTGATCCCGGCTACCTGTGTTGCTCCTGCCCTGCTCGTTAGTCCCTGTGTGTGTGTGTGTGTGTGTGTGTGTGTGTGTGTGTCCTCAGTGAACTGTATCAGTCTCTGCAGTAGCTTCCAGCTGCAGCAGTCAGTTCAGTTTCTGTTCAGTCTGACTGAGGGAGGTTTTTGTACGACGCTTTTTCACTGTGTGAACAGATACTGGCTGTTGATATAATAATGAGCCTGACAGTAGTAAACTGCTGCATCTTCAGCCTGAACTCCTCTGATGGTCAGAGTGAAGTCAACTCCATTCCCTGCTCCACTTCCACTGAATCTGGAGGAGATTCCAGAATATCTGTCTGATGTTCTGTAGATCAGAAGATTAGGAGCTTCTCCAGTTTTCTGATGGTACCAGGACAGGAAATATTGTGAACCAGAGTAGTGACGAGCTGCTGGACTGGATTTACAGTCAATAGAGACTCTGACAGTAGTAAACTGCTGCATCTTCAGCCTGAACTCCACTGATGGTCAGAGTGAAGTCAGTCTCTGATCCACTGCCTGAAAAACGATCTGGAATCCCTGATTCTTGAATGCTAGCAAGGTAAATGAGGAGTTTAGGAGTTTCTCCATCTCTCTGTTGGTACCAGGCTAATAAATCTCCATAAACCTCCTCACTGACCCTACAGCTGATGGAGACGGAGGCTCCCAGAGCAGAGCTCACTGCTCCAGGCTGAGTCACTGTGATCTGGCCTCTGGACTCTGAGGATACAGAGACAAACACATAAAGCAGCGTCATGGTTTTGTGGGCTTCATTTCAGAGGGACGGATGTTCATAGAGGAGAGGAGTTTGATTCTCTGGACTTTACCTGTGAAGCAGCAGCAGAGGAGAGTCCAGATGAGGACGGAGACCAAAGTCATGTTTTTGATGAGGAGGATTTCTGTGGCTTCTGTTGTCATGAAGGACAGCTGTCAGTCATCCAGTGTTCAACTCTCAGGACTATAAAGTCTCCCAGAGCACTGGAGCATGGTGCTGCTGATGCAAAGTGGCTCTCTATGGAAATGCTCTGACTGACTCCAACAGGGACTTGGATTACTCTGATGATGCTGCTTCTCAATGGATCAATACGTTTACCAGAGGATTGATTAGGAATGTGTCAGTGATCATTTTTATGGACATTTGCTTTGATGACTGCAGAAAGATTTTCTTTTACAACATCTTCTGTCTGCTTTCATTTCATTCTAGAGGGATCAATTTGACTTTCAGACCAATGCAACAATATATACGTAAAAATGGGATTCATTCTCAACAACTGTGTCACTGTTTGATAAATATAACATGAAATAGTTCATTCTTTTAAAAACAGCAAGTGTTTTTGTTGAGTTTGTTGTGTTCAAAGTCAGAGAGCCGTGTCTCTCTACAGTGAGAGGTTTTTGTACGACGACTCAATCAGTTTGTATCACTGTGGTTGACTTTTGGTGGAGGAACCAGACTGGAGTTTGGAAGTAAGTTTCTGCACAAATATTAAATATCGTATCATCAGCGAAGGTTTTAATTTCTGTGTCTGAACATTTGTAGTAGATATAAATTTCCTCTGGACTGATCTAAATCACTTTAAAGACTCAATCTTATTGTTCGTTTCTCCTGTTTAACCATGAAGCTGAACTCAAAGCAGCTTTACTGAACTTCTCTTTAAACGTTCCATTTAATTTGTGAAATGTGAACAGCTTGAACTGCAGCAAAGATTAAAGAACAACACTCGTACTTTAAAAATCATTCAGCCTTTAATTCTGCATTTTAAACTGTTTAGAAGTTGAGTTAAAATTATTTTGAATAGTGTGAATGAAGATAAAAATGTTTCCAAATCTCTGATCTTCTAAAATGGCTCAAATTGTCTTTTAACCTCAGTTTGAAATAATGTTGACAGTTCTCTGATGCTGTTTTTAAATCTGTCTGAGGAACAGGTTACCTGTGGTCGTCTCTTATTTTGGGCTGATAATGTCCTTTAATAGTGGATCTCAGTAACTTTTGCCCTTTTGAGAGTTTTGACAGTAAATGTTTTTGTATTTCCAAATTTAAAACCTGGTTGTTTTATTTCCAGTGCAGTTTGATATCTTTCAGCTCATATGAGGACTCTTTCTGTGCTGATATGCATGAGAGGTTTCTTAAAGGAAGTGAAACAATGTGTGAGTGAGTGACTGGTGGAGCAGAAACCAGCTGTGTGGTCCCCGTCCTCTAAGCCGATTGGTTCTTCTCCTAGGTGATGCCCGTCCCACCCTGACGGTGCTGCCCCCCTCCAGCGAGGAGCTGCAGCAGGGGAAGGCCACGCTCATGTGCCTGGCCAACAAGGGCTTCCCCTCAGACTGGAGTCTGGCCTGGAAGGTGGACGGCAGCAGCAGCAGCAGCAGCAGCTGGGAGGAGAGCAGGAGCCCCGGGGTGCTGCAGAAGGACGGCCACTACAGCTGGAGCAGCACCCTGAGGCTCTCTGCAGACCAGTGGAGGAAGGTGGGCTCTGTGACCTGTGAGGCCACCCAGGGCTCCCAGACTCCGCTCTCAGAGACACTGAGGAGAGACCAGTGTTCCCAGTCCTGACCTGACTCACTGGGACTCTGCTACTGGTTTTCCTCTGCTCCTGCTCTCACTCTGCACTCTGGAACTGTCTCTCTCTTTTATTTGACATCTTTCAACAGCAAGATTTACTAGCTTGTTGCACTGTTTCAATATTATTTCAGTGTTTCCAGATAATAAAGACCTTTTCATCCAATCAGCTGTTTTCATGTTTATTATTATCACAGTATTATGAATGCCTTCATGACTGTAGTATCTTTTCTGTTATAGTCACAGATTTATCTGTAATAAAAAAACATTTTATGGCCCAACATTTTGAGACATTTCAAAGATAAATCATATCTGTTCATTCTAAACTGTGTAAATAGTAATAACTGTAATATTGTAATTGCTTTTGATGTATCCAACATGCATTATCCTGTAATAGAACTACAAAAGTCTAAAAAAAGGACAACATCATCAAAATAAAGATAAATAAGAACCATAGAAACCAAAGATGACAAAAGGAAATAATTAAAATGTTACTGATCGGTCGATCATAATACGTGTTTGTTGAAATACTTGATGTTGAGATTTATTAGTTATTTAATTTCAATAATGAATATGTTCACATTTCTATGAAAAATTGTGTGATCAAATTACCCAAAATATACAACTAGTGTTCTTGTCTTGTTTATCTTCATAGATTATATTAATTTAATATTAAAGTACAGCTTTGATAAATTATTTAAATCCTATATTAATAAAGTTATCAAAAGTATAAATGTTTGGATCCAATCCAAAATGTTTTGTGCTAAAATGATTTGATATTAAGCTTTTTTTTAAAATAAACCTCCTGTTATTTTAGTTTCAGTGCAGCTGTTGAGTCAGATCAGTTCCTCTCCAGCTGAGGGAGGTTTTTGTACGACGTTGTATCACTGTGTGAGTGGAGACCAGCTGTGACCCTGCTGACAGTAGTAAACTCCTGAATCTTCAGCCTGAACTCCACTGATGGTCAGAGTGAAGTCAGTCCCAGATCCACTTCCACTAAAACGATCTGGAACTCCAGACTGACGGGTTGTAGCTGTATAAATCAGGAGTTTAGGAGCTTCTCCAGGTTTCTGAAGGTACCAGCTGAGCCAGCTGTAACCAGAACTATAAACACCTGTACTGGTTTTACATTTGAGAGAGACAGCCTGTCCTGGAACAACAGACTGAGATCCAGGAGACTGAGTCAGGATGATTTGTCCTGATGAACCTGGAAAAGATGAAAAAGAGGAGAAGGGTTATTGAGACAAATCCAGCTTGGAGAAAGATGATCAGCATCCAAACAGAAGAGTCTCATTTCTTTTAAGATGGAGAACAGATGGAAGAAGGTAAATGCTGCTTGTTTCAGTGTTTCTCCATCACAGCAGAACATCATTGTGGTGAAGCTGGTTGCATCCTGAAGCAAAGTTTTCAGAAGAGAGTCTCACCCTGAACAAGGAGCCCCAGGGTGGCCAGCAGTAGAATCAGTGACATCATCATTGTGCTGCCGGCGTGTCAGTGGCTCTGAAAGGCCTGGACAGCCACTGATCAACACTGGCCTCTTAACGGCTGGGAGCAGAGAGGCAGGACAGATATGCAAACACACAGAGTCAGTGAACTGTAGCTGTCCTCAACATATCATGCTGTTTCCTCCTCACTGCTGCCTGTTTACAGGTTTTTACATCTGCTTACACACAAAATCTTTACATGTCCCACAATTTTTGAAACCTCTCACTCAAAGCGACAAACTACACACCAAATCTCCAAACCCATAAGCTTTTTCTCTGCCTTTCAACAGGAAGTCCCTTGTTTTCCTTTTCCAAACACAACCAATCAAAATGCTGCACTTATTCACCAGGTCACACAGCCACTCCTCACATGTGCAACAACTAACTGCTTAACAGATCACTAACCAATCACTGCTTTAGTCTAGGCCTATAAATAGGTCAAAGGTCAGATCACCTGTTTTGAACAATGGAAGCCAACAATGGACAGAGAGCAAGGGGATTAGGAGGGAAAGGCAGGTGACGACAAACGATGACAGTTGTATATTTCCCCCCTTACTCCCCATTCCTTTATCCAATTGAGGAATTCTTTTTCGGCTTGGCGTTGGCATACGACCACCAACTACATGCCCACATGCCTCTTCTGCAAACAATGAAAGTGGCATGCAGAGACACGGGTTTGCTTTGGATACAGCACACAAGACGTAATATTCCCCATTGTCTACCGAGGAATGAATTTGCGTGTGATGTGAATGAGGTGATGTGGTCAGACCCTAACAGAAGGCAGGATCCATAAACCATCCCTTACTGTAAAATAATAATTTTGTATATCATTGCCTTTGTTTTCGGTAGTTTGCAGTAACATTGTATTGACTACTGTACTCTAATTCTACTTTTCTTTGTGTTTTTGCTAATGTAAAAACCTGCAAAGGAGAACAAATCTATAAATGTTTTTTTTCCCTTTCTATTTTTTGTATTCATTGAAATGTGAGTAGATGATAACATTTTACAGAAGCCTGTATGAGAAAATAGGTATACAAAGTACTAAAGACAGCAGTGTTTTGTATAAAGCACATCAGTGTGTTGTTACCTGCCTGAAAGAGTAAAAACAGTGTGTGCATCCTTTTGTCACAAAAATGCCGTTTTGAAAAAGGATTGAAAAGGTTTTGACTGTAGAGTTTCATTTTGATAGAGAAGTGAGAAATGGTTTGCTTCCTACCTCTCAGAAAGGTCACAATATGTAAAAATACAAAACTACAGGTCGGAAACCTCCAGACGAAACATCTCCAAACCATGTCCTGCTCTAACTCAACACTCAACGGAAGTCCTAGGATATGCCTTGGTCACATCACGCATTGATTACTGCAGTGCAATTTTAGCAGGTATTCCTAGCATACTTATTCACCGACTGCAGCAAGGATCATAACACGTTCCAAGTCCACAGAACATATCACTCCTCTGCTGATTCAACTACACTTGCTCCCTGTATCACAAAAGGATTAACTTTAAAACATTATTACTAACATTCAAGCCCTCAACAATCTGACCTCAGTCAGACCTACACTCCATCTCGTTCGTTGAGGTCTTCTGCAACAAGTCTTTGGCACTACCAACCATCAACCTCAGCAGGACCTGACATTAACACCCGCATACCCGCCAAATGCGGGTGAATTTCGGCCGTGGCGGGTAACACAGTCACTCCCACTAGCCACTTTGGCGTGTTGAAAAGGCGTCTTGTCAAAAGGCATAATAGCAAACAAATTGCAATGTGACACTATGACACTACAACTGCCATGAGTACTTGCTGCACATAGTGTTTGCTCATTGGTCCATTAGTGAAGC